ACCAATCCCCGCCTCCCTTGCCTTCGACGGACAAGCCGACCAGCCAATCCCCTTCCTTCCCTCCCTCAACTCGCCTCCTTTCCTCAGGCCCGAGCCCGAGTAGGCGGAGCTTGACGCCAACCAACCAATCCCCGCCGCCCTCGCCTTCGACGAACAACCCGACCAGCCAATCCCCTTCCTTTCCTCCCTCAACTCGCGTCCTTGTAGGCGGAGCTTGACGCCAACCAGCCAATCCCCGCCTCCCTCGCCTTCGACGGACAACCCAGCCAGCCAATCCCCTTCCTTCCCACCCTCAACTCGCGTCCTTTCCTCCCTCAACTCGCGTCCTTTCCTCAGGCCCGAGCCATAGTAGGCGGGGCTTGACGCCAACCAGCCAATCCCCGCCTCCCTCGCTTCGACGGACAACCCAACCAGCCAATCCCCTTCCTTCCCTCCCTCAACTCGCGTCCTTTCCTCAGGCCCGAGCCCGAGTAGGCGGGGCTTGACGCCAACCAACCAATCCCCGCCTCCCTCGCCTTCGACGGACAATCCAACCAGCCAATCCCCTTCCTTCCCTCCCTCAACTCGCCTCCTTTCCTCAGGCCCGAGCCCGAGTAGGCGGAGCTGGACGCCAACCGACCAATCCCCGCCTCCCTCGCTTCGACGGACAACCCGACCAGCCAATCCCCTTCTTCCTCACCTCAGCCGCCTCAGGCCCGGCCGCCATGGAGCGGCAGCGGGCTTTCCTGGCTCAGAAGCGGGCCAAGGCGGCCTCCTTGTCCGGCCTCCTCGAGCTCTACGCGGCCCGGCCGGGCGTGCGGACCCTCCGCGCCGAGCGCATCGTCATTGTCGAGCTCCGCGAGGGGGAAGCGGCCTACGGAGGCGGCGGCGGGGCGGCGGAGCTGAGAGCCGAACAGGTCTTGGTTTTCGAACCCGAACCGGGCCGCGTTCGTCGCCTCAGGAAGCGATACGAGCCGGTGAGAAGCGATTCGGGGAGAGAGGGCGGAAGGAGGCTTCGCTGGCGCCATTGCGCAGGCGCGGGGGGAGGAGGCGCGTCCACCCAATGAAAGGGGCCGCGGGAAGCGTCGGCGGGCTCCCATTGGACGGCTCGCTGCGGCCGCCGCCAATCCTGCGCCGCGACTCCGTCAGCAGCAACTCCTCCCTCCCCTCCGACCAATAGCAGCGCGCGGATTCGGCCCAGCCCCTTCCCCAGCCAATCCGCGCCCTTTCCTGCGCCGGTCTCCCTAGCAACGCGGCCTACGCCAGCCAATCGCGACGCGCGTCCTCTCCCGCCTCCCCTCCCCTCCGACCAATAGCAGCGCGCGGAATTTCCCGCCCGCAGCGGGGATTCGGGCGAGAGAGGGCGGAAGGAGGCTTCGCTCGGCCCGCTGCGCATGCCAGCCAATGAAAGGGGCCGCGGGAAGCGTCGGGGGCCTCCCAGTGGACGGCTCGCTGCGGCCGCCGCCAATCCTGCGCCGCGACGACCAATAGCAGCGCGCGGATTCGGCCCAGCCCTTCCCCAGCCAACCCCCAGTCGCCCTAGCAGCGCGGCCTACTCAGTAGCAAGGCCCGCCTGGGATACGCCTCCCCTCCCTCCGACCAATAGCAGCGGAGAAGAGGGGCGAGGTGCTGCATGTGCAAAGGGCGGAGCAGCATAGGGAAGAAGGGCGAAGGGGAGGGAGGGTGGGCAGTGCGCATGTGTGAAGGGCAGAGGGATGAGGGCGCATGCGCGAAGGGGCAAAGGGCGGGTTGAGTTGGGCAGTGCGCATATGCGGAGGGAGGAGCTGCGTGAGGAAGGAGGCGTCGGGTCGCGCACTGCGCATGCGCGAAGGGCAAAGGGGTGGTTTCAGTTTACGACTGCGCAGGCGCAAGAGGCATGGGATGCTTCGGGTTCCCCCCTGCGCATGCGCGAAGGGCAGCGGGACGCTTCAGGTTCCCAACTGCGCATGTCCGAAGGGCGGCGGGATGGCCGCTGCGTATGCGCAAAATACAACCGGCGCATGCGCGAAGGGCAGGCGGCGGCTTCAGAGGATGAGCTGCGCATGTGCGAAGAGCAAAGGGGAGGCTCGGCTCGGCCATTGCGCATGCGCAAAGGGCAGAGGGACGAAGTGCGCATGCGCAAAGGGCGGGTTCGGTTTGCCACTGCGCATGCACGGAGGGCAAAGGGGTGGTTTCAGTGTACGACTGCGCAGGCGCAAGAGGCATGGGGATGCTTCGGGTTCCCCCCTGCGCATGCGCGAAGGGCAGCGGGATGGCTGCTGCGTATGCGCAGAACGCAGAGGGATGCTTCGGAGGACGAGCTGCGCATGCGCGAAGGGCAGAGGATGAGCTGCGCATGCGCGAAGAGCAATGGGGAGGCTCGGCTCGGCCGTTGCGCATGCGCAAAGGGCAGAGGGACGAAGTGCGCATGCGCAGTGGGAAACCGAACCCGCCCTTTGCGCATGCGCGCTTTGAAGGGAATAGGGCCGCTTTGGAAAACTGCGCATGTCCGAAGGGGAAATGGGCTTGCTGTGCATGCGCG